AAACTATAAAAAAAAAAATAAAAAAACAGCTCCAAGTTGTATCTAATATAAAATAATTACAAATATACTTGCAAAAATTCTCAACTTACTTGATGTAAAAACTGTTTGAAAAGTTGATGGGGGGTTGATGGGGAGTTTAATAGGGAGTTTATGAAAGAAAAAAATTTTTTTAACGCTACTTTTTGTTGAAGTAATTTCTTAATATTTGTTATATGATCATGTAGCACAAGTGTGATCATTTTTGTAAAACTTAATTTACCTAATTTTTATTAAATTATTGTCAAATTCCTTAATTTAGACGAATTTTGTTAATTCCGCAGATCGGCAGATATGTATTTTTCGACCCTCATATAGAGTTACGATCCGGATGAATCCGAAAGGGCACATTTTGGCAATTATACACAGATTTTAATTAATAAAGATTAAATTGTTTTTTATATATTATAAGACTGCATTCCAATGCACAATCTAGTAATTTAAAAAATTACTATTTAATACAAAAAAAAAGAGAAAATAAAAACGGATTGATTTTTCATCCAATCCGGATGAATTTCAATCCGTTTTAATTTTCTCTCCACTTTTATTTTTGAAGACAATTTTTTTTTATCATATTATGTATTGATAGATATTCATAAGATATCTCAAAAAAAAAAAATTCTTTTTATTGACTTAATATTCATAGAATGGCAGAAATGTGTTTATTTACGGATTGACGGATCGCAACTCTACCCTCATAGCAGTACAGAGAAGATGAATGAAAAAATAGTGGCATCAAAAATGTCAATTTATTTGGTAGGTTGGCGCTATATTATGATATATATTTCACATATTTATGTTACTAATACCGTTCTTTAATTCAGAATCATCTAAACGAGGAATAAGAATCTAACTAAAACTATGTATTTTATTTATAATTGTTTATTGCTTTTAATCTCGTATTAACATGCATAAGAAAAAATGATATAATATTTACGTAATATAATCAAAAACACATTTTAGCATTTTCTGTAAATGGGCATTTATACTAACTAAAATGGATGTTAAACTAACAGTTCATGGACATAAAATACATGACATCTGACCTGCGGTAGCTAAAGTCTATTATTATTATCAAGTGAAGCTCTAATGAAAATGGTCAATTACATTTTTGAGATTTACGATCTCTTGAATAATTAGTTTTATCCTCTTTACTTTCAGAAACATCTGCGCGTAAATATATTATTTTTCTAATAATATTTTTTTTCTTTATCATGTCCTACTTTACTCAATCATATCTGAAAATTACAAAATGATGCGTAATTTTGAACTCTTGCCACAAATTCTTCATGACTTTTAAAATATATCTGAAATTTTCAACTCAGGAGATTGTTTTGGCTCCGGTTCGCAGTATTCATAGTTGCTAAAGAAATATTAAGGAATAAGTTTTATATAATTAATTTTTGGTATTACTAAATATCACTGGTGGTGATGGTGAATTTATGATGTAATGCCGGCCAGCATTGTATATGATTTTTAATTCAGGCCAAATTATATCATAATGCTGGTATAGTGTCACATGTCAGTATGCAGAACTAGTATAACTAATATATATGTGTCTCAGGTATTATGTGTGTCAGATGGAAATTGATACCTGACGCACGTCACCAGCGTCACCTGTATCTCTTCCATAATAAACAATTTTTTTTATATTAATGAAATTTCCTTTTATTCTATAAGTAAATTTGTAAATCACAATAAATTATTTCTATTAAAAACTCATAGTATATATAGTATATAAATAAGTTTTAATCAACAATCTGATATTTTAGGATCGCATATTCTTTAATGTGATAATAATAAATTTTCTAGAAATTTAATGATCTTAATTTTATGTGAAAAGTGATGCATGTCAGGTATCAATTTACATCTGACATACGTCAATTATCACCTGACGCAAAATCGACAGAAGTAACTTTTAACATATTTTCAAAACATATTTACATAAGAATATAGATAATTGTAACATGGTGGAGTATAAATGTAAAAATGCCTTCAACAATTTGGTTAATGGTCCTAATAAAAAAGAAGTGAGTAATGTAAATCTAATTACTATATGATTTAATTATTATACGATTCATTTCTTTTACTAATCGAAGGTAGAATTAGTACTTAGTAGTATTAGTTACAAAGTTTTTTGTAAAATTGTACAATTTAAAATTCTCTTTTTATGATATCATCATTTGTAATAATGTACTTTTTCTGCCAAATATTGCAAAAAAAGTATAAATATTATAATTAAAACATATAAACTTCAAATTTTTTTTTATAAGAGCGTTTTTTTATTATTCTATTTAAAGTCAGTAGATAGCACAAATTGATAAATGACAAATAGTATCTATCGGCTCATGTGATTAAAATCTTTTAAATAATAAATTGCTACTAAAATATAGTTCGAGCTAAACTAAGAAAAAAAAAACAAAAAAAAAACTTTCTCCTCTTTCCGTCAGATTTCATAGAAATCCACAGTAAAAATTTTTTTTCATATATTTTCACACTTACACCTTTAAAAACTGCTGAAAGCGGTAGAAGAGAGAGGCCCTGTACCTTGGCCTTGGACGGAAAACCCTCTTCTTTATTCACCTTTTGCCCTCTGAATAGAGTTTTTATATTTTATCTTTACGACCTTTTTTTACCATGTTGTTTTCCACTTCTTTACAGCAAAAGATAGATTACCCTTTGGAAGTTTCTTTTTCCAAATTTCACATGACCCACCCAAATAGGGCTGGATATAGGGTTGGATCGGTCCTAGCAAAGACCGGTCCTGCATCGATCTTGGGACCGGTCTTCACAGTCTTCGGTCCGAGATCTGAGGACCGGTCCGGACCGGGACTGATCTTATATTATTAATATCCAGTAAAAATGAGCCAAATTTTTGTGCTCATGTACTTCTAGGGCACGGTTTTTGCCAAAACCGATTATCAGTTCGGTTTTTAACATTTTCGCAACGTTTTTTATTAAAAAAATGTGCGAAAACCTTTTTTTTGTGAAATTATTAATAAAAAACATTTTTGTAACGTTTCCTATTAATAAAATAATTAAAAAACGTGCGAAAACGTTTTTTTATTAAATTACTTAATAAAAAACGCTGCAAAACGTTAATTACTTAATAAAAACGTTTTCGCAACGTTGTTTGTTAAAATAATTAAAAACGTTTGCGAAAAACGTTTTTTTTTTATGAACTTATTAATAAAAAACGTTTTCGCAACGTTTTCTATTAAAATAATTAAAAAACGTTGCGAAACGTTTTTTATTTGTTAAATTACATGTTAAAAAATGTTTCGCAACGTTCTTTAATGTTTTAGAGGTCTTAAAATCATGGGGACAAATTTCTTGAATTTAAATCAGTCCGGTCCCGGTCCGGTCCGGTCCAGGTTGAAAGACCGGTCTTTTTGGGACCAGACCGGACTGGACCAGACCGATCCAATCCTAACTGGATATAACAAGATTTACGAAATCAGAAGATCTAAAAGATCTAAAAGTTTCTTTTTTGAGCTCGCTGATCTTTTTTTATACACCAATCAACATCGACTTACAATACACACAAATGATTATCATATGAACACTAAACCCATTCTATGTTCTTATATGACGTATATGTCACATAATATAGGTCGTATAAGATAGTATGTCATACACGTATAAGAACGATACATTTGCCCACGAGCTTGATACATAATCAAAAATATCAAATCAGTATCATGCTTAGACATTTTTTTCACACCAATCAGTTATCCCTAAACGGATACAACAAAAATATTTTCCCTTAATCAGGAAAAAACTATTAGAACGAATTACATTTATCAAGTCACGTGCATCTCAAAATCGAGAATGTAATCATTCAACTAAAACTTTCTTTAATTTTTCTTACAAACGATATCATTTTCATTTTGGTATATATATACCATGTAACAGTATTATTGACAGTACACACAAACCAGGAGTCATAGAACTTTGTAAAATCCCTTCACCTATGGTCTTTTCTCACAACAGACGTGCTTGCAT